CACTAAAAAGATTCTCAAGGGCAGGGATCCGTGCCCCACATTCTCTTTCCCACAGCAGAGTGACAGGGACAGAGAGCTACAGAAGACCCCATTTTTGAGCATCCTCGGGGTACGAGGCTCAAGAGCTCAAGGTGGATACAAAAAGGGGCCAGATCCAGTACACCTTGCCCCCAACAATGAAAGGGAAACCCCATGTGGGGTCACAGAAGGTGGCTAGGCCTGGCTTCAGAATGCTAGACTTCTAATCTGAACAGTGCCACTAATGTGTGGCCTCATTTCTTCTATACTTCTAGCACAAACACCAATGCTGTGACATCATTACAACAAAAGCCAGAGATTGCAGAGCTACCAAAAAAGTAACCCGAGGTCTCCTCCCCCAGCTTCCTAGTCTCAGTTCACGGTGCCACCCAAGTGCCCAAGCCAAAACCAAGAAACTGTCCTTAACTCCTCCCCTCCCTCATCCCCAAGTACAAAGAAATATCAAACCCCATTTCCAAATTCTACTTCCAAACCACAGCTGACGTGCAACATGTCTTTACATTCCTGCCACCGCTGCCATGGTGCAAGCCACCATTATCGCTCATCTGGACAGCTGCAATCCACTTCCAGAATGCTCTTTTCAAAACACACGCCTGATCATGTCACTGCCTTACATAATACGGCGACTGCCCACTGCTCTTAGGAAAACAAAGCCCACATCCTAGCATTGCATTACCTGACCTCCTCTAAACTCTCCTGCGTTACTTCAAGGAGCTCTCCGCCCTCGCCACTCCTGGTACTTGGGGACATTTCTGGGGAGCCCACCAGACTCAGGCCCCAGACATGAGCCGTTCCCTCCACCTGGCCCATCGTCCCTGCTCATCAATCCTGATTCATCTTATAAGTCAGCTTTAGATATTGCTGCCTTCCCAGGCCTCCTGGTCTAGGCTCAGATCCCCTCTAATTTTCCATGGTACCAGCTACAACAATTGTAATTTAAACATTTGCTTTTGCACTTACTTTATGTAACAGCCTTACAGCTGTAGGCTCCATCCCAGGAGAAGGAATTGCTGTGTCTGCCTTATCCCGCTGCTGTAACTACAGCGTCTAGCACAGTGTCTGACTCTAGGTGAATGAATGAATGAATGAATGTCCAGGTGGGGAGCAGGAAAGGCCGTCGGGAAGAATGAGCACGGAGAAGAAGACAGGTACGTTCAGGACCTTCAAGACCTGCGGGCTTTGGAATCTACGATGCGGACGTACCTTCTCGTGCAGCTGTGATTCTTCAAGCTTCTTTTTCTTTTCCTGAAAGTCATTGATTCAGCCTGACTCCATCCAAGCTTCCCCTCTACTGGGCTTTCTGCCCTGGGAAGAATGGCCATCCTGGCCTTCTCTTTCCTTGCCACTCTCTACTGCAGCCCGTTGACTCTCTGGTCCACTTTCCCACCACACCCTTGGATTTATGTAATTGTGTGATGCTGTAAAACTAACCTGCACTTCTGCTTGGGCAGTGAAGCGACGAGCTTCGCGGCCTACGGAAGCAAAGGAGAGCAAGCACCTCTACCACCCTGGCTCCTCCTCCCACTCACCGCACAGGTAGTCATCCCTGTGTGCTGCGGCCCAGCAACTGAGAGCTATACCGCATCTCAAGCCAAACGCCAGCCACAGAAAGAAATTGAAAGAAAAAAATCTTTCCACCGTTGCAAAGACAAGCCCCTTATCACATCCGTCCTCTCTCTGGATGGAGGTCATTGGTTCAGTTTCCCTTTCAGCCTTCGACAAGACTCTGTTGGCACCTGTTTTCTAAGTCACAGTTTGGGAGAGGGCCTGGCACTTCTCTTCCTACCAGATCGAGTCACACTTAGACCAAAAAGCAAATGGGGTTGACTGCTCCCCGATGTCTTGTGGCCCACTCCCTAGTTTGAGAGGTCCCAAGCAAATATAAAATGGGAAGACCTGAAGAGAACACAGAGAAAAAGTGTTCCCGAAAGAGTGTGTGTGTGTGTGTGTGTGTGTGTGTGTACGGAAGGTGAGCCAAGGGAGGAGAGAGTCATGTGAAGGTCATATAGGGATTTCATATTTGATACAACGAAAGAGAATAAACAGTATTAAAGAAAAATAGCCACCATTTATTTGGTCTTTACTATATTCCAAACACAGTGAACGGCTTTGTATACACAGACTTTGATTTACTTTTCAAAACAAGCCGGTGAGGTCAGCATTTATATGCCCACTTTACAGATGAAGAACCTGGCTCACTGAGTCACATTGCTCGCTAGTGGCCAAGCTCCAGGACTGAGATCCTGATGCCCTTGCTTTGAACCACTACTTGCAACTGCTTTCCTAGGGCCACCGATCAGAAAGGAGAGGAAATTTGTTGATGGTGGGGCAGAGGGCTTGAGGTTCGACATAAAGAATGTTCTAACAATGAGGGCTGTTTGGTTGTAGTCAGGGTAATTAGGCTTGTTAGAGCTCTTCCTCCCAGGGCCTTTACATTTAGGAAGAATGGATGTTTCTCTGCCTAGCTGGTTGAAGGGGCGCACTGTGTGTTCCCAGCACGGGGGCTGGCCTGTTTGAACTGACAGCCTCACTGGGGTACAAGGCATCCACACACAAAACCGTTAGGTCGCAGGAGAGGATAGCACAAGATGTGTGCCTGTGGCTCCAAGCAAGGGCTCTGTGGTCAGGCAGACCTGTGTTTGAGTCCCCGCTGGCTCCCCTACTTGCATGACCTTGGGTACATTACTTAACCTCTGGAAGCCTCCGTTTCCGAGTCAGTAAAAAAGAGGCTAAGAATAGAACCTACTTTGGAGAGTTGCCAGGAAAATTAACTAAGATGATGCATGTGAAGTGCTTGGCACAGAACCTGGACGTCATAAGGATACGGTGAATGGTTGGTGCTATATTAATTGTCATTGTGGGAGTCCAGAGGCCAGAGAGAGAGAGAGAGAGAGGAGTACTGGGCAGAGCCATAGCTCGGTGGCTGAGAAAGCCTTTCTGGGAAACTCCAACTTTGTCCCGGATCTTCAAGAGTTTGGTTGGGTAAAACTAAAAGGAGAGACTAGGGACAGAGTCAGGGCGCAGAGGGTGGTGTGAGACATCAGCTCCCCTATCTTAAGAGAAAAATCTAATTTGATCTCTGGTTAAACTAAAGGAGGAAGCTGATCATGGCGAGGAAGTGACAGAGGAGCTGAGGTCTTCTCTCTTCGTTTCCAAATGCAGGATTTGAATAGAGATAAACACAGCCTCAGAGACTTAAAAAAAGAAGCCAGACACACAGGGCTTCTCTGCTTATGTCTTCTGGGATCTCACTGGGGTGAAGGGTAAGGAGCCTGGGAACACAGCTTGGGGCAGCGCTGATGATGGATGGGGGACAGGACCTGAAACGGGAAGTTAGGAAATGCGGCTGAGGTCCCAGTGACTGTGGGGACTGATTCATGTGAGAAGATCTAGCTTGAAGGCAGGATTGGGATGGTCGCCTCGTAGGCAGGATGCCAGTTTTGAGACCCTGGACATCTCTTCTTCGGTCTTGCCAGCTCAGGGTGGGAGGGCCTGGGAGCAGTCACGGTGCTAATCTATTATTCTCTGACAGCCTGCCTTATCTCCCTGATGTGAAGATAAAGTCCTCCAGGGCCAGGGCAGTTCCCCAGGAAAGATGTTGTTTGTTTTAGATCCCCTCTGCTTAGCCCTCTGTCAAGTACCAACTGTCAAACCCCTTATATCAAGCATCACCTGGGCCTTTGTTAAAAATGCAAATCCTTGGTTCTTTTCTCTAGGGAGTCTGTGTGGCTAGATTTAGGGGCCCAGGTGTTTGTTTTCCTAACAAGCACCCAGATGATTCTTTTGATAACGCAAACTTGGAAAACACTGAGTTAGAGCATCTCTTGAATCCCATTTGGTCCTATAAATGCAGGCCGCGGAGTATAGTGGGAAGAGCCCTGGGTTGGCAGTAAGGAGACAGCTTGTAGGCCCCAAACTGCAGTTCACAGGGCTTGGGGCTGCTGTCGGTGCCCTCACAGCACCTAGGTGCCTGGGTACCTGCTGTCCTTTTTGGTACTAATAAGAACCCTGTGCTGAGGACAGCCTAGCAGGGAAGGAGGCTTCAGAGGCAAGGGGAGTAGTCACCATCCGTGGTCAAGAGCTCGGAAGACAGAACAGAGGCACCTAGAATACACAGAAGTGGAATGGACCTCAGCGAACAATAGGTTCTGAACATCTCTCCCTGAGGCTTCCTCTTCCGTGAAATTGACAGGATATCATAGGTCTCGGCAACTCCCCCTGTACACGGGGGAGCACCGAGGTCCAAAGAATTTTTCAAACGTTCCCAAAGCACACAGCTGGTCAGTGGAAGCCCGGATCCAGATCTCCCTGGATGCCTCCTACCCTCACCCAGGTCACTGCTGAGGTGCACCGCAGGGCATATTTTCTTGGGACTTGTGGGAGAAGCCCTGCTGGTCAGGCGCTGGTGTTCTGGGTTCCTAGTCATTCTCCCGAATTTCCCTGGACTGGCTCAGCCAGTCTCTGGGAAAGAGAACGGAGATCTTGGGAAGTGGGCAGGGCTGTTGATGGGCCATGAATGGGGTAAGTGAAGACTGAAAAGAAAAGGCTGTCCTGGGGCTCACAAAATACACCCAAGTTGAGGGGACTATTCAGAGAGGTGGCCTGACTTATCAAGATACCAGAGCAGAGGGATGTCAAATTAGGGCAAGAACCTCAGCTCACCTCTCCCAACCTAAGACAATCCAAAGGCTGAAGGCGAGGTGAGGTCTGATTTTGCAGAACCGTTTTTAGAAATTCGCTGTGTCAGAGAAACTAAAAGACCAAACAAAACCCCTAAAACACCAAGCCTGATGATTTAGTCCACGTGGCATGAGAGCGAGCCAAAGAGGCGAGGGGAGGGGGGGAGGGAGGGAGTGTTGGGTTGGTGGACGGGACGGGGGAAGAGTCACCCGTCCCGCCCCTGCTGGGAGGAAGGGATTTGCCCGTTGAGCCAACTCCTGACACAGCCGGGTCGCACGGGGCGCGCGGCAGGGAGGGAGGCAGATTGAGAAAGGCCTTTTCCCACAAAGCCGCTGCGCGGAGGTCCCCTGTCCCCGCCCCCTGCCCCGGGCCACAGCCGAGCGCGGGGAGCCGCCGCGAGCCCTTTAAGGGCCGAGAGGTGCGCGGTCTCTTTAAGGCAGGTCCTGGTGGTTTCTGTTTTCCGAAGGAAGTGACGGGGGGTGGGATTGAATGAAAAGTGCAAAACAGAGTCTCGCCGCGCCAGAGTCGGGGGCCGCGGCAGTCGTGGCGCTGGGCGGGTGGGCGGGCAGTGGGGGGGCCCCGGGAGCGCCGCGTCCGCCTTGGAGCTGCCGGGGGGCGATCGGCGGAGCGCAGCCCACGTGCGTCCGCGCCACCTCGCGGCTCCCCCGCGCCTGAGTCCTCCCCACCCCGGGGAGCCGCTGCCCCGCGCCCCGAACTAGCCAGCAACTTCGCGCGAAGTTTGGCAGCGCTCCTCTCCGCTCGCGCGCCGCGCGCCCGGCCCGTGGAGGGCGGCGGCCCCCCGGGGATGCGCCCGCCCGGCCGCCTCGGGGTCCCCACGGCTCCCCCAGCGCTGCCGCTGCTGCTGCTGCTGCTGCCGCTGCTCGTACCGCTCCTGGGGGTGCCGCGCGGCGTGGGCGCGGGGCCGGGCGCGCCCGCCGAGCTGCGGGTCCGCGTGCGGCTGCCCGACGGCCAGGTCACCGAGGAGAGCCTGCAGGCGGACAGCGACGCCGACAGCATCAGCCTCGAGCTGCGCAAGCCCGACGGCACCCTCGTCTCCTTCACCGCCGACTTCAAGAAGGTGAGGCGCCCTCGCTCGCGTGGAGGGACCTGGGAGCCAGGGCGCCCCGGGATCCCCGGCCGCACCGAGGCCTGCAGGTGGACACAGGCGGGCCAGGAGAGGCTAGAGACTTAGCCGGGGTAGTCGGGCTCTCCTCTGCGCCTCTTGGCAGAGTCCCCAGCACCCAGATCCGGCCGCTTCATTCTGCCCGCTCCGCCAGCCATTCCAGCCTTTTGCCCCTTTGCTCCGGGTGCCCAGGCCCCCTCTCACTCCCTGAATCCCCGCGCTTTGCCCACTTCTCTTCCCGCTCTCCCACAGCCCTGCAGGTGCTGACTCCCCTTCAAAAGAGTTGACTCCCTTCTTGGAGGAATTCCCTTGTGCTCTAGAGGAGAAAGTCCTGGGCTGGCAATCAGAGGCCCTGGGTTCTTGCTGTGTGATCTTGGGCAAGTCCCTTTCCTTCTCTGGGCCTCATTTTTCACCTCTATGCAGGTCAGTGAGGTGGCTCCAGGCCTCTCAGCTCTGACATCTTGGGGTCCATGAACCAACTGTCCTGTTTCACTTTCCTAGGCTGGAGGCATGGGGGTGGGGGGAAATGGAACTAAGAGTTGATTGTACCTTGTCCCTCCGGAGCCAAGGAGAAGCTACCCCTACTCCTTGGTCCTGAGGGCTGGGAAGCTTGCAGAAGGAGGACGTGGGGAGAAGCCCTACGTGAAGCCCCCCCACTCTGGGAGAGCTGCCTGACAAGTCGGCTGGCCAACCTCCATGTTTTGGCCCAGATATAGAAAGGGGGCAGAAACCAGCCTCTGCTCAGTGTGTGAAAGGAACCAGAAGGAACCTGGTGGAGGGACCAAAAGGTGGTCGTGGCCCCCAAGTTTGTTGGGGTTGGGGGAGAGTGGAGGGGCTGGGGGAGTTGCCAGCAAATGGGCCTGGAAGGGTAGTGACTAACAGTGACCCAGCAGCAGGAATTCTGGAAGGAAAGAGGGTGGCGAGGAGTAGGTACTTGAAGGGAGTCTCCTGATCTACACACACACACACACACACACACACACACACACACACACCAGCCCCTCTTCTGATAAAAAGAGGCCCTGTCTCTGGGGGAGTGGAGAAGTGAGGCAAGTTAGATAGCTGGGCAGAGCTGGAGGGCCATACAGCCCTGAAGTTCAGGGCCATACAGCCTCGCCCAAGCCATCTCTCTCTCCTCCCTCTTATAGAGAGTGGGAGCTTGAGGGCCAAGGGACAGAATTGGGGGACCCAACAGAACTGCCGTAGATGGCATGGTGAGGGGATCCAGTGGACAGTGAGGTATGGCTTGACTGCCGATCTGTTCCCAAACTACTGAGTTGTCACTGACATGGGACATAGGTGGACCATGGCTGTGGGCGGTCATCACAGCTGGGAAGGCTTTTTGGCCCTTCCTTTCTCAGTAGGGCCACGCTAGGTTCTCACATTCAGGTAGGGGCTGGTGGGCTTGTGGGGGGGGGGGGGAGAAGGAAGCTGGCCAGGCCAGAATCCCTCCGGCCTCCACACACCTAAACTCCAGGGAGAGTTTGTCAAGCATCTTCTTTTCCTGGGAAATCCCAGTAGTAGCCAGACCCCTCAGGAGGCAGTGGTCTCCTCTTCCCCTCTAACCTTCCATAGAAGCCCTTTGTCGGTGAGAGCGTGCCTCTGGCCAGGCCAAGAATCTCGTAACCTTCCTGCCCACTGCCCATTGTTCTACGGTGGCCGGTGGCCGGAACCCTGGGGAGAGGCTTCCCTGTTCCGGGGACCTCTCCAGCAGCCCGGGCTGTGGCTAGGACATCAGCAAGAGACCCAAGACACAGGACTGGGTGGGGCTGAGCTTTTATAGCCTCTGGCTACAGCATAAACTCTTTTATTGCTCTACTCTGCTGGCCACGAGAGGGGAGAGCCCCAGTGGCAGTGGGGTGCAGGACGGGGGTCTGGAGCTGAGAGTTTGGTCGGGGGCTGACTGCCCAGTTGGAGAAGCCATTTGGAGCTGCTCACAAGGGCCCCATTTTAATCCTCGCAGTGGTTCAAACCTCCGCCCAGGTTTCCAGAGTCTGCTTTTCAGGTTAGCCTCTGACCCAGAAGCTGGCATTTCACACCCGCCCTGGCATCTCCGATTTCACCAGCAAGGACGGGAATTGGGGGTGGAAGGCACAGAAGGGGAACCCACTCTCTGAGGTCTCTCCAGCTCCGGGTTTCTCATTCAGCCTGGGGCGGGGCAGCACAGCCCTTACCCCCACCCAAGTCCACTGCCTACATTGGCCAAAGCAGCTTTCGCACGTGAATCCTTCTGTGGCCCACACCGTCCTCAAGGCCCTGTGCCCCATAGCCTCTGGCAGATTTACACAAGGTTCTGTCTAGATGTAACAATTTTTCCCCTGGGAAGAAGTCTTGAACATTGTGTTTCTTTTGTTTTGTTTACCAACTCCCCTCGTCCACTTAGGAATAGCAATGTTTGCCATTTTCCCACCTTTGGGAGACAGCCCAGACCGAAATGAGACAGATGTGGTTTAACCCTGGACAGGATACTTAATCTCTGCAGGCCTTCGTTTCCTCATCTGTAAAATGGGGGTGAAAATGGTAGCAATCCCCTGGCTATCTGGAGTAGTAAGCAGGTAATCCATGGGAAATACCCACTCTGCAATGGCTGCTGTGGTAAGTGCCCAAGAAATAGAAGCCACAACTTTCATAATTGTCGCCCACATCACAATGCAGCATGGGCCCTCCCTGCTGAGCCTGGACTCAGAGAGGTTGAATGATGGACTCAAAGTCACACAGAAGGTCAGTACTGAGCCTAGAGGTGCCTTGAGTCCCTCTTCGTAACTGTCTCCTCGAAGCACTGTCCATTGGAGCTCTCCAGAAAAACAGAAACAACAAGACATAGAGTGAGGTATACAGAAAGAGATTTATTACCAGAGGTTGGCTCTCATAGAGGCTGAGAAGTTCTACGATCCGCCATTTGTATAGCCTTTACCCCCACCCAAGTCCACTGCCTACATTGGCCAAAGCGGCATCCCTATGCCAGGATAGCTGGCAGTGTGGCTCCAGCCTGAGCCCCAGGGCCTGAGTACCAGGTGTGCCAGTGTCTAAGGGCAGAAGATGGATGTCTCAGCCCACGCAGAGAGAGCACACTCGCCCTTCCTCTGCTTTCTGTCCTATCCACAGCCTCACCGGATTGCGTGATGCCCACTCCCACTGGCAAGGGCCCTCGTTTTTACTCATTCTGCCAATTGAAATGCTCATCTCTTCTGGAAGCACCCTCACAGATACACCTGGCAGTAATGTTTGACCAGCCCTCTGGGTACCCCTTCACCCAGCTATGTTGACACAAAATTAACTGTCCCACTGCACAGTTGCTGGCCAGCCTCTTCGAGTGTGGAGCAGTCATTTTTGCCCCTCTAGAGTACTCAAGGCTGTACCCCCTCTTTCCAGTCCCTCCCACTCTCGCTGTTTGCCTCCACCGAGAGGCAAGTCTCTAGTCCTGTCTGGCTGTCCCCACACTGCCACGCTGGACCTGAAGGTGCTAAGGCAGTTAACAGTAATCAGAGTAATTCACTCGCTGTCGGACGCAGAGCCTGAAGCAAGGATTGATTCTAAACTCCACAGGTAGCTTGGAGCTATCAAATGGCCATCCTCTGTCATTGCATACCCTGCCCCAAGGCTGCTGGCCATCAGGCAGACTGAGTTCAGGCTTAAAAAAAAAAATAAAAAAAAGAAGAAGAAGAAGAAAGAAAAAAGGGCCATGACTCAGTGGCTCCCAAACTTTGATGCCCATTAGACTCACCTGGGTAGCTTTGGAAAATCCCGATGCCTGGGCTGCAGCCCATAGCAGTTAGATCTGATATCTGAGGGCGACAGTAGTTTTAAAGGGGCCCCGTGACTCCAACAGGCAGGTTAGACTATTAAATGAAGGCAGAGCCCACACTCACTTAGCACTTGGCGACCTGTCATTCTACCCAGGATAACCCTAATGTGCTCCAAGCAGCGTATAGGCATTACACCTAATTCTACATGCCCACAGCACACCGACTATCCTTCACAATCCACCCCCAGCAGGCAATACTCTCCTTTGTAATCCAAGTCCTATGGATGTAATTATACTCAGATGTGCACGCTCACTCGGCATGTTCAATACCAGACACGTCACCACCCCCAGGCCCTCACCTGGCTTTCTGTCCATCAGCCTGCTTGGGCCCCCTCCCCCAGGCTGGTGTCCCTGTCCAAATTCTCTTTCCCCTTCGCTCCCTGGTCTGAGTGTCCAAAAGCTGAGGGAGGGGATGAGTCATGTTCCAGGCAGTGTGGTTTGGTGCTGACCGGATGGGTAGGGTGGGGCTGAAAGATAGGAGAAAGTCATGTGCAACTGTTTCACGGTGGTGGGTCCAACGGGAGGGGTGGAGAGAGGAACCACAGGCTCCAGAAGTGTGGCATGGGGGGCCCTGAGGGGCGCTGCGCTGGAGCCAAGATAAGAGGAGCCATATGGTGGTGTGGGTCAGTTCAAGGTCGCTCTGCAGGACCCAAGAAGAGAGGAAACTTGAGCCCTTGGTGCCCTGGCCGGAGCACCGATGGGTGAGTGGGAGTCAGGAAGGAACAGCAGAGAGCACCAGGGTCCTCGCCTCAGGGGGCTCCTGGCTGGGGCAAGGGAGCAGCGTAGGAAGCTGAAGGCTGTCGTCAGATGTAAGTCTGGAAGATGTGGAATGTGCAAATGACCGCGCACTGCCGGAGGCTGTTTATTACAGCAGGATGTGAGGTCACACGGATGTCAGAGTGGAGAAGCTTTGAGAGACCAGGTTCCCCTACCCCTACATTGGGTCTCTGAAGTGTAGCAGTTTGGAACACAGGAATGTGATGGGCGATTTTCTTCCTGGGGAACAGAGAGCCACAGAAATGCTTTCAGGAGAGGCCCAGACTTTTCTGGGAGCCCAGAGCACTTCCTCATAGGAGTTTCTGAGAAGTCTCCAGATGGAATGACCTGGCTTGTGTCCTGGCTTGTGCCCCATGGCAGTCCCACTGCCGTG